AATAAAATAAATAATTATTTAAAAAAATATTGAGGGCCAGCAGGTGGCACAGTGAATAAAGGCGGTGGATTCCCACATGGCAGACTGTGGTTCAAGTCCCAGACATGGTGGCTTGGTTTCTCGCTTTTCCTTTCTCTCTCTGGTCAAATTAAAAAATAATAATAACGAATTAAATTAAATTAATGAATAATCCTTTAAAAACAAAACAAACCATTGTGCCATCTACTGATCCCCCAAAAATATAGTTTTAGGACTAGTAGGTGAACTGGTCATTCAAGGCACCAGATCCCACGTGGTGGACTCCAGACTGAGTCTCAGATCCCAGAACTTGAAAGACACACTGGGCGTGTGTGCGCGTATGCCCAAAACCCTGGGAGAAAGATGGGGAAGGGACTGCAGCACGGCCACCCCATGCGGAGTGATTTCTCACTTCCTCTCTCACTTTCCTTCTCTGTCTCTTCAGTGAGTGCATGTGCCCTACGGCAAAAATCTTCAAAAAAAATTATAAAGGAACGTAATTTTATTTGCATACCTTCAGTTCATTGAATGAATTGTGTTCTTCAAAATGTTTCTTTTTTCTCTCAATATATTGATCAATGGATTCCATTTCCTTGAAACGAGCCTCATGAAGCTTCTTAAAGTCTAGAATATTCCCCCAAAATATGAAAATTAACCAGGCAAAATTATTTTATTAACCTTCATGTTTTTCTATAAACATTCACTCTCTTCATTGTATTCTTGCCTTTTAACTATTAATATCTTCTTTCCTAAAACTTTCATTTCAAAACATTTAGCTTTTGGAAACTCAGTGTAAAAGCACATTTATCTTATAAAATATCAAAATTCAACATGGTCCTGTTGTCCATTTTATGAAATGACATCCTGGGTTAGTCCAGAGCATAAAAAGATTTGTCTTCTGCCCTGGCCTTCACTTACTCATCGTAATTTGATATTTTAGAATGTTTAGAAAGCTCTATACGAAGAATCGACAAACTTTCTCTATAAAAGACCAGACAGTATTTTAGGCTTTGTGACCACGTACGGTGTGGTCTCCCGTTACAGCAGTTGTCCTCCTTTCTTAACTCTTTAAAAAAATGTAAAAAACATTGTTAGTTTAAATGATGTAAGATAGGCCAAGGTAGGTGTTAGTTTGCTGATCCCCATTCTATACAATTCTTTTTTTCTTGAGAGGTCTTTGCCATAGGGCATGTGTGCTCGCCAGAAAGAGAGAGAGAGAGACAGAAAATGAGAAATCACCCCTCAGGGGGACGGTCACGCCTCAATCCATTCTCCTCTCAGGATCTTGGGCACGCACGCACATGCGCCCGGCATGAGTTGAAGCCACCAGGTCCGGGACTCAAACCGCGGTTGACTACGTGGGAGTCCAGCAACATAGCCATTACGCTAACTGCTGGTCCCCCCATTCTATACTATTCTAATGAAGTACATAAATATTTACTGACTCAGTCAACATTCCACGTGCCAAGCATTGTTGCAGCAATATAAGATAAAGATGACACACCAGGGCCAGCCAGGTGGTGTGGTGGTTAAGGCAGCTGGACTCTACATGGCTGACTGCATGGTTCAAGTCCCAGACCCAGGAACATGAAGAATACTCCGGGTGCATGTGCCTACATGCCCAAAATCTGGAGAGGAGAATGAAGGGACTGTAGAATGACCCTCCCTTGGAGGGGCGCCTTCTCATTTTCCCTCCCGACTCCTCTCTCTCCAGAGAGTACATGTGCCCTATAACAAATTAAAAACGAAAAAAATGACATGTCCAAAACTGGAGTCCCCTAGATTGCCTATTAGGTTGTCGGGAAAGTCAGGACGTATTTTTCTATGCAAAAACGTGTCATGACATTCCTCACAACCCAACAGAAACTCAAAACCAGGTGGGAATTGCACCAAGTGCTTCACAGACCCTTGTGCATGAGATATTTACTGAATTCCTGCACAGACTACTTGGTGTAAAAGGCAATGAGCAGCGAAGGAGACATTCTCAGCTAATCTACACATCAGCCTATCCATCAGTCTACGCGTCACTTTTCCATTTACACTGAGGAGGCGCGCTCACTGAGGATAACTAAGGAGCCCAGGTCTCAAAGCTAGAAAGCGAGAGGAGAATGAAAGCCCTGGTCCCAGACTCTGAGCTTTCAGCTGTTTCCGTCCACTGCCTCTCTAACACCGGTCTGAAGTGGTCCAAGCACTCCTTTATGTTTCTTTGTGCACAAACTTACTTGGAGTAGTGTTTGCGGTTCTTTTATTTTTTCCAGGCTTGGAAAGCCCATCTGGGTAGACAGACTTTTTCTTTCCTGAAGGTACTTTTGAATCTTTTTCACCTAAATCCAAAGAGAAAGAACTAATGAAGAATTTATAAAGACTTCTTGGGGCCGGCAGGTAGCATAGTGGCTAAGGGCGCTGGACTTCCGCATGGCTGACTGCGGTTTGAGTCCTGGACCTGGTGGCTTGCATTCTTTCTTTCTTTCTCTCTCTGGTCAAATTAAAATAAATAAATAAATAAATTTTAAAAAAAAGCCTGTGGGAGCAGCAGTTGGCGTAATGGCTATGTCGCTAGACTCCCATGTAGTTGACCATGGTTCAAGTCCCACACTTGATGGCTTAAACTCATGCCAGGTGCATGTGTGTGCGTGTCCAAGATCCCAAGAGGAGAATGAAGGAGAAAAGATTGCGGCGTGGCCATTCCCCTGGGATGTGATTTCTTCCTTTCTGTCTCTCTGTCTTTCTCTGTGAGTGCACGCGCCCTATAGCAAAAATCTCTCCAAAGAAAAGGTTTCTCATTAAGAAATACTGTAAGCAGGGCCAGCAGGTGGCATGGTGGTTACGGATACTGGACTCCCACATGGCTGACCACGGTTCAAGTCCTAGACCTGGAGGCTTGCTTTTTCACTCCCCCATCTTCCTTTCTGTGTTTCTTTCTGGAAATATTTAAAATAATAATAATAAAAAATAAAGTGAAATAAAATAATTCTTTAAAAAAAAAAGAAATACTGTAAGTTAATGCAGAGCTATGCCAAAGGTAATGGGGAAACTGACACTGGGACACCCTGTTACAACTGGCAGCTTCCTAAAGAATGACATCAGAAAACACCCGGTCCTAGGGAGTCCAGCGTAATGATTACGTTGCCGGACTCCCGTGCAGTCGAATGTGGTTTGAGTCCCGGACCCGGTGGCTGAAAACTCACTCTGTGCATATATGCGTGCATGCCCAAGATCCCTAGAGGAGAATGGAGAAGGGACTATGGTATGGCCATACCCCCTCGGGGGGCGGTGATTTCTCACTTTCTGTCTCTATATCTCTCCAGCAAGCGCACATGCCCTGTGGCAAAAATCTCTCTCTTAAAAAAAAAAAAAAAAAAAAGAAAATCCTCAGAAAAGAAAACACCAAGTCCCATTAGGTATGCAGGAACTGCGGCTTCTGGTCTGAGTGAAATCAACTTAGTTGAGAAAATTTAGGGAAGAGGTTTTGAAGGACTTAGAGACGAAGAAGGACACACATTTATCTTAATACAGATGGACAAGGCCGGGCCAGCAGGTGGTGCTGTGGCTGTGGCGCTGTCCAACCAATAGTTCAGACCCAGGCCCGGCAGCTTGAGAGCCACACTGGGCACGCGTGCATTGTGTGTGCGTCCAAAATCCTGAGAGTAGAATCGAGGCGAAGATACCGGCTTAGCCGTCCCTCTTGGGGGTGATTCCTCACTTTCCCTTTGTCTCTCTCTGGTGAGGGCATTGCCCTATGACAAAAACCTTAAAAAATAGAATAAGCTCAAAGCCTGGAAAGGTAGACTTTGCAAGCTTCCTATGCGAATCCTGACTGAAGAGGCACGTAGGCCTTTGGACGTGTCTCTGGAGTGGGCCAGAGGGGCTAAAAAGATAAAACGAGGGCTCTCTCGCTACCTCTCTAAGCGTCCAGCTGCCACTCTCATTCTGGCTTCTACATAAAGCTACCACAATGACACACACCATCTGTGTTTTGCTCTAAATTTTGCTATAACTGCAGAATACTTAGAAGTTCTAGAACACCAGGGCTGCCAGGTGGCATGGTGGTTAAGACTCTCACATTTCTGACTGCAGTTCAAGTTCTAGACCTGGTGTTTTGCTTTCTTACTTTCCCTCTCTCTCTTTCTCTCTCTCTCTCTGATCAAACTGGAGAATAATAATAAGAAATACAGTGAAATGATTATTTAAAGAAAGAAGATCTAGAACATGACATAATGATTATGTCACAGGACTCCCATGTAGTTGACCATGATTCAAGTCCCGGACCCAGCAGCTTAAAACTCACACTGTATGCGTGTGCATGGCAAAATCCTGAGAGGAGAATAGAAGAGAAAGGATTGCGGTGTGGCTATCCCCCCAGGGGGTGATTTCTCACTTTCAGTCTGACTCTCTTGGTCTCTCCAGCAAGTACATGCATCCTATGGCAAAAATCTTTCTTGAAAAAACAACAATAAAATTTTTTGGGCTGGGACCAGCAGTTAGCGTCATGGCTATGTCGCTGGACTCCCACGTAGTCGACCATGGTTCGAATCCCGGACCTGGTGGCTTAAACTCACGCCGGGCGCATGTGCGTGTGAGCCCAAGATCCCGAGAGGAGAATGGAGGAGAAGGGATTGTGGTGTGGCCATCCCCCCGGGGGGTGATTTCTCGCTTTCTATCTCTCTGTCTCTCTCTGTCTGGCGAGCACACACGCCCTATAGCAAAAAAACCTCTTCAAAAAAAGAAAGAAGAAAAAAAAAAGTTTTTGGGCCAGCAGGTGGTGCCACCGGTGGTTAAGGGCGCTGGACTCCCACATGGTTTGAGTCCTAGACCTGGCGGCTTGCTTTCTCACTCTCTCTCTCTCGCTATGTCTCTCTGGTCAAATTGTGATAAGCAAATAAATAAATAAAGTTAAAAAAGAAAAAAAAAAAAAAGAAAAGTTCTCGAATATGATGCTATGAACTGAAATGGAGTCCCAAAAGATACATAGAAATCCTAACCTCTAGTACCTATTGTATGACCTTATTTAGAAATAGGGTCAGGCGAGTCCGGTGGCTTAGTGGTTAAGTGAGCAGGATCCAACATGGCCAACAACATAAAGTTAATGGCCTAAAAAACATACCTGGAGGCTAGCAGGTGGTGTGGTGGTTAAAGGGTGCTGGACTCCCACATGGTTCGAGTCCCAGACCTGGCAGCTTGCCTTCTCACTTTCCCTCTCTCTCACTCTGTTCCTCTCTGGTCAAATTAAAATAAATAAATGAATAAAGTTAAAGAAAATAATACTATTTTTTTTTTTTTTTGGAGAGGTTTTTGCTATTGGGCACGTGAGCTTGCCAGAAAGCCAGAGAGACAGAAAGCTAGAAATCACCCCCTGGGGGGGATGGCCATGCCACAATCTCCTCTCCTCTATTCTCCTCTCAGGATCTTGGGCATGCACGCACACGCGCCTGGCATGAGTTTAAGCCACCAGGTCTGGTACTCGAACTGTGGTCGGCTACATGGGAGTCCAGTGACATAGCCATCATGCCAACTGCTGGTCCCCCAAATAAAATAATTCTTAAAAAGGAAAAATGACACACCTGATGCATGTGCATGTGTGCCCCAAATTCCTACAGAATGGAGAAGTGGTGGAGAAGGGATTGGGGTGTGGCCATGCCCTATTGGGACGCTTTCTCTCCCTCACTTTGCCAAGTACACATACCCTCTAGCAAATAAAAAAGAAGTTCTTTGCAGGGTGATCAAGTTAAAATGAGGTCATCGGAGTGGATCCTAATTTGGTATGATTGGTTTCCTGTTAAGAAGATAGAAATACACACAGAAACGCCATGTAATGACAGACACACAGACTGGTTGGTTGAGCATGCAAGCCAAAGAATCCCAGGCATTGACAACCACAAGCCAGGAAGTGGCAAGAAAGGAACTGACCCTGAGGCTCGGAGGAACATAGGCCTATTGACACTCAATGAAATGAACGTACAGGGCTACTCCCAGCAATTTTGGTTAACAGTTAGTTGGCATACCATGAATTCCACTCTTCCCTGAGGATTCTGTATTCTCCTGTGCTTGGCTCTCATCTGACAGAGAAGCAACTTCAGTTGTAGTTCTGAGATCCTGGTTTTCCTTTCTTTGATTCTGGAATTCAGTGGGATCACTTATTTTTATCTCTAAATGATCCTGCTAGAAATTTTAGAAGAAAATAAATTATTTAAATGATAAGAAGTAAACACTGCTTCCCAAACACAGGTACCAAAATGAGGGAGGAAAGGAATTAAAGGAAGAAAAGAAGACTTCTGAGTGGAGAATTTGGTTCTCTGCCTTGTCAGCTTCATGATATGGGCCTCTAGGAATAGGAGCAACTGGGGAACATCGGAAGGCATGAAAGACTAGCAAGACTAGCTCTTTTGGGCCTGCCGTGGCGTGGTGGTTAAAGGCGCTAGACTCCCACATGGCTGACCATGGTTCAAGTCCCAGACATGGCAGCTTCTTTTTTTTGGAGAGGTTTTTGTTACAGGGTGTGTGCGCTCGCCAGAGAGACAGAGAGAGGCAGAGAGATAGAAAGCAAGAAATCACCCCCCAGGGGGGATGGCCACGCCACAATCCCTTCTCCTCCATTCTCCTCTCGGGATCTTGGGCATGCATACACATACACCCGGCGTGAGTTTAAGCCACCGGTTCTGGGACTCGAACAGTGGTCGACTACATGGGAGTCCAGCAACATAGCCGTTATGCTAACTGCTGGTCCCATGGCAGCTTCTTTTCTCACTTTCTCTCTGTGTCTCTCTGGTCAAATTGAAAAATAATAATAAAGTTAAAAAAATAATTCCTTTCAAAAAAAAAAAAAAAAAGATTAGCTCTCTTAAAGCTACAACTCTGTTTAAGCTCTCTTAAAGATACACTAGCACTGAGAGACCTAGTGGTCTCTTGACCAAGGGACCTTATGAAACCAGAAGATAAAAACAGGCCTGTGTCTGTTAAAAGTTACACTTTAGGGACCAGCAGTTAGCGTAATGGCTATGTCGCTATATTTTAGGGGCTGGCAGGTGCTGTCGTGGTTAACAGCACTGGACTCCCATGTGGCCGACTGCAGTTTGAGTCCTGGACCTGGTGGCTTGCTTTCTCATTTCTCTTTCTCTCTCTTGCTTGCTCTGTCCTTGTCTAGTCAAATTAAAATAAATAAATAAAGTTAAATAATTCTTAAAAAAAAAAAAAGTTACATTTTAATGAAAGGGTAAAACAGATCTTTCTCTCTCTTGCTTGCTCTGTCCTTGTCTAGTCAAATTAAAATAAATAAATAAAGTTAAATAATTCTTAAAAAAAAAAAAAGTTACATTTTAATGAAAGGGTAAGACAGAAGTATATGGGGCCAGCAGATGGCTTATTGGTTAAAGCGCTGGATTCCCATATGACCAATTGTGGTTCAATTCCCAGACCTGGCAGTTTGAAGCTCACGCCAGGCACACGTGTGTGAGTGCCCAAGACCTTGGGAAGAGAATGAAGGAGACGGGATTATGGCATGGCCAGCCCCCTGAGGGTGATTTCTCACTCTCTTTGTGTCTCTGGTGAGTGCACACATCCTAAAGCAAAAATTTCTCTCAAAGAGTCAGAGTCTACTCAAAGCAAATGAAAGAAGCCCTGGCTATTCACATGACCACGCTGCTCAAACACAACGTGCAGAGTGATCACTAGGCCTGGGGCAAGTTAGGAAAGAGAAACGAAAAAAATAAAAAATAAAAAATGAGATGTTGGTTTCTTCTTATTTACTACGCCTTGTTTAAGTGAACGCTTAATGAGCAGTCCTATTTATTCACAAAGTATTGCATTTACTGTGTTTTTTTAGAAAGGTTTATTTAGTTTTATTAATTCATTTATTTAATTTGACCAGACACACACACATACATACACACACACACACACACACACACACACACACACACACAGAAAGAGAGGGAGAGGGAGAAAGCAAGCCACCAGGTTGGGGACTCAAACCATGGTAGGTCACGTAGGAGAGTCCAGCACCTTAACCACCACGCCACCTGCTGGCCCCTCTTTTTTATTATTATTATTATTTTGTGTGTGTGTGTGTGTGAGGTTGTTGCTATAGGGCATGTGTGCTTGCCAGAAAGACAGAGAGAGACAGAGGGACAGAAAGCAAGAAATCACTCCCCCCGCCCCAGCCCCCGGGGTGATAACCATGCCGTAATCCCTTCTCCTCCATTCTCCTCTTGGGATATTGGGCACACACGCACATGAGCCCGGCGTGAGTTTAAGCCACTGGGTCTGGGACTCAAACTACAGTCGACTACATAGGAGTACAGCAACATAGCCATTATCCCATCCACTGGTCCCTGGCCCCTTTTTACTTTTCAAAAGAATTATTTATTTAATTAGAATCAGCCTTTTTTTTTTTTTTTTTTTTTTTTTTTTTTTTTGGTGTTTTTTGTATATGGCTTGTCCACGTTGCCAGAAAGACAGAGAAAGGGAGACAGAAAATGAGAAATCACCCCCCATAGGGTATGGTCATACCACAATCCCTTTTTTCTCCATTCTCCTCTCAGGATCTTGGGCACCACACACACTCACTCAGCATGAGTTTAAGCCACCAGTTCTGGGACTTGAACCATGGTTGACTACATGGGAGTCCAGCAATATAGCCATTATGCCATCTGCTTGTCCCTGGTTTGTTATTATCTTTAATTTGACCAGAGAGAGACAGAGAAAGGGAAAATGAGAAAGCAAGCTGGCAGGTCTGGGACTCGGCCATGTGGGAATCCAGTGCCTTTAGCCACCACTCCACCCATCGGCCCTAGTACTTACTAGTATTTACTGTGTTCTTTGTGTGTGTATGTGTTTTTAATTAATTATTTATTCAATTATATTTATTCACTCATTTATTTAAATTTGACCAGAGAGAGACAGAGAGAGAGGAGGAAAGTGGGAAAGCAAACTGCCAGATCCAGGACTCGAATCGTGGTTAGCCAGGTGGGAATGCCCAGCGCCTTAACCTCCATGCCACCTGCTGGCCCCTTATGTGTTCTTAATATAAAGCACTTCCCAAGTGCCAGGCTGTGGGACACTGAGGACACTGAGGAGTAGCCTTGTGCTTTCAAGAAGCTTATAGCTCATGTTACTTAGTCACCTGACATCACAGAAATTAACACGAACGATCCCGAAGAGTATGTGAATATGGGCACACGTGGGAGCTTATCTGCAGTCTGCCACTGCCATTCACCTGGGGGTGAGAATCCCCACACAACTCCTTGCGCCTCCTCCTCGTCTTGGTGACGTGACCAGCAGGCTCATTCTCTGCTTGTTGCTGACTGCCAATTTGTATCTCAATTTCATCACAAGAAGATGCAGAAGTCTGATTTTCATCCTGAAGAGAGAGATACTGTCATGTCCTATGTGTAGAGTTATAACGCTCAGGAAGAATCAGAATTTAAACCAAATTAAAAACATATTACAGGGGGTTAGCAGATGGCATAGTGGTTACATCGCTGGACTCCCACATGGCTGAATGCTGTGGTGTCCCAGAGCCAGCGACTTGAAAACTCATGCCCGGCAAGTGTGAGTGCACACCCAAGATCGCAGAAGGGACTGTGGCATGGCCATCCCCCTGGGAGGTGATTTCTCACTTTCCCTCTTACTATCTCTGTCTCTCTCTATGGCGAGCGTACATGCCCAAGGCAAAAACCTCTGTTGGGGAGAAAAAGAAAATTGCTATTTTTAGTGCCTGTCATGTACTGAAATGGAGCTTATTTGTACTCTCATCTCATTCTCTTCCTCCTAATAGAAAATACTATTAATACTGTAGTCACTCTTTTAGTTACCTTTGCACCTTTAAATATACCTTTAAATCTTGCTCCACAGGGCAGCAGGTGGCATGGTGGTTAAGGCGCTGGACTACCACATGGCTGACAGCGGTTTGAGTCCAGACCTGGCGTTTGCTTTCTCTCTCTCTCTCACTCTGTCCCTCTCTGGTCAAATTTAAATAAATAAATAAAGTTCAATAATTCTTTTTTTAAAAAAAGAATCTTACGGGACCAGCAGTTGGCGTAATGGCTATGTCACTGGAGTCCCATGTAGTCAACTGCTGTTCGAGTCCTGAACCCGGTGGCTTAAACTCATGCCAAGTCCGTGTGCGTGCGTGCCCAAGATCCCGAGAGGAGAATGGAGGAGGAGGGATTGCGATGTGGCCGTCCCCCCTGGGGGGTGATTTCTCACTTTCTGTCTCCCTGTTTCTCTCTGTCTTTCTGGCAAGTGCACGAGCCCTACAGCAAAAACCAATCAAAAAAGAAAAAAAACAATCTTGCTCGGCAGCCACAGGCTACACACTGTAATGCACAGATACTAGCACCTTCTTGTCCCTTCTACTTACCCACTTCTGTCTCCAGGAATTGAGGTCGATAAAGTTAGTCCATTAATAATCTTAATGAAATCATCTGTTCCTTATCTACCCAGCTGATAAAGAGCTGATGAATCAAGGTGGGCTCGCCAGGTGGTGTGGTCATTGAGGCATGGGACTCCTACATGGCTGACCTGGCGGCTTGAAAATCACACCAGGTCTGTGTGCACGTGTTCCCCAAATTCCAGGAGAACAGAGAAGGGACTGTGGTATGGCCACCCCTCTGGGGGGTGATTTCTCACTTTCCCTCTCACTACCACTCTCCTATGAGTGCATATGCCTTATGGTGAAAATCTTAAAAAAATAAAAAGTCCTGGCCATAATGAAGCATTCATTGATGCATCTAGGGTCAAGCCTTATCAAAGGCTTTAAGGTGAACCTGAAGCCGCCATGACATCTCTCGTCAGCAGTGGTTTACAGCTGACAAGTCACTTGCACAATCCATTTCATTTGATTCTCACAACACTCAACTGAGCGGAGCAGACATTACTTCCATTTTAAGGAAGAGGAGTTTGAGTATTCTGAAAATACAAAGAAAGAAATGACAGTTGCTACTTATCCTTAGGTCTTTCAAATTCCGTTCCCTCCCTACATATCGCACTCTTTCTTATCATATTTAGCTACTAGTACTTAACCTTGCATTTGTATAAGGACATCTCATTTAGGGCCGGCAGGTGGCGTGGTGGTTAAGGGCACTGGACTCCCACGTGGCCGACCATAGTTTCAGACCCAGACCTGGTGGCTTGCTTTCTCACTTTCTCTCTCTCTTCCTCTCCCTCTCTGGGAAAATGAAAACAAATAAATAAAGTTAAATAAAATTCTTTTTTTTTTTTTTTTTGGAGAGGTTTTCGCTATAGGGCGCATGTGCTCGCCAGACAGATAGAGAGTCATAGAGGCGGAAAGAGAGAAATCACCCCCCAGGGGGATGGTCACACCGCAATCCCTTCTCCATTCTCCTCTTGGGATCTTGGGCGGGCATGCATGCACACGTGCCCGGTGTGAGTTTTAAGTCACCAGGTCCGGGACTCGAACTGCGGTCGACTACGTGGGAGTCCAGTGACATAGCCATTACGCCAACTGCTGGTTCCCTAAAATACTCTTTAAAAAGATTTAAAAAAATCTCATTTAAAAGATTACTTGCCACAAATGAGAGTTGCCATTCATAATAAATACTTCCTGTGAAAGGATTCAGTCCCTGGCACATAATTATTTTAAAGAATTCTTTTATTTAATTTTATTGTTTTATTAAAATTTTATTTTTAATTAATTAATTTTACATTCATTCTCTGAGCAGTGTCACAGCATACAAAATGTGATTTTCCATTAAGAATATACTGCATAGTGGCTTAATCAAACACATTATTGTAGAAACTTTTCCATTTCTAGTTTAATATATATACATGTGTATATATATATTTCCCCCTATTTCTCACCCTCTTCCATTTCCCACCCTCCTTCCACACTACCTCTGGTGTCTACAGTTGTTTTCCATTCCTCCCCCCTCCCACATTTTATTGATTCACAAAATTTCTTAAATAATCTAATTACTTTCAATAGCAAGTTCAGCTGGTATATACACATCTGTGAATACACGTCTGACTTTAGGTGTGAAACTGAGTAGAATGAATATACTATAAAGTAGCACCTGATGCTATATAACTTACTATGGTCATTAAATAGGTACTTTATAATATATATTTTTTAATTTCAAGAAGAGTAGTTTTGGGAACCAGCAGTTAGCGTAATGGCTATGTCGCTGGACTCCCACATAGTCGACCGCGGTTCGCGTCCTGGACCCGGTGGTTTAAAACTCACGCCGGGCGCGCGTGCGTGCGTGCCCAAGATCCCGAGAGGAGAGTGGAGGAGAAGGGATTGCGGCGTGACCATCCCCCCTGGGGGGAAAAAAAAGAAGAGTAGTTTTAGCTTTAATAAATCAAAATCAAAGAAATGCTAAGAGACCTTTGCTTAAAACTCAAAGCCAGGAAACGGGTTAGGAATCTGTTAAAACAGTAGGTACATGAACCTATCAGCAGTTCAAGACAAAAAAAAATCCTTAAAACCGGAAAACAAAGCCAACAAGAAAATCAGCAATGTTTTAGTCAAAAGTCATAAGATTCTCTTTCACCAGGTCAGTCTCATGTACTTAATCTATCTTCTGTTGTGCTCTGATCTTCCCAATTAAATTCTGTGATAAAATACTCAACTCCAAACTTGTTTCTATGATTAAATTGGTCATTTTTTTTAGTCTTCAAACTCTTATTTCTGTATGTCTGTATTTGATTTTCCTGGTCTAGCACTCCCTTGAGAACTTCTTGGAGAGCTGGTCTGGTGCTGGTGAATTGTTTATTTTCTTCCCTGTGAAGGATAATCTTGCCAGGTGCAGTATTCTTGGTTGAAATTGCTTTTCCCTCAACACCTTGAATATATTTTCTCATTCTTTTCTTGCTCACATTGTTTCCGATGAGAGGTCCGCTGTTAGCCTGATGGGATGTCCTTTGAGGGTAACTTGATGTTTCTCTCTTGCCAATCTTACTATCTTGTCTTTGTGGTTTTGGTCAACCTGGCTATAATGTGCCTTGGAGAAGATCTTTCTGGGTTGATTCTATTTGATTCTATTGGGGTCCTTTGTATTTCGTGGGGCAGGATCTTTGAATGCCTCTCTTGGTTTGGAAAATTTTCTTCCAGGATTTCATGGAATAGATTACCAATTATCCAGATGTTTGGATGTTTTTGGTATCTAGTATTTCTTGTATGTTATTCTCATTATTTTTGATAATTTTCTTAGTCTTTGTGGTGGATTTTTCTAGGCCAGAGATTCTATCTTCTACATCTGAGATTAGATTTTTGTATGATCTAGTCTGCTTTTAATATTTTCAAGGGAGCCTTTGACTTCCTCTATTATAACCTTCAACTCTAACCATTCCATGTGATTCTTTTTTATGGTGCGTATTTCTTCTTTCAGGTCTTACAAGAATTTCCTCACTTCCTGGAACTCATTGGCTCCTTTCTCTTGCCTCTTCGGCAGTACATTGTCTATTTCTCTTCCATCTCTGTTAGCTTTGTCACTATGAATATTCTAAATTCTTTATCTGACATTTCTGTGAGTTTCACTGTACTATCTGAGGATTAAGAGGAATTATTATTTTCCCTTGGAGGAGAGGTATTTTCTTGCTTTCTCATATTTCTTGTGCCCCTGGGTAATTTCTGGTCATCTGATGGATTGTGCAATTCTTCCTAATTCTTGAAGTTCAATTCGGGCATTCAGAGGTGAACAGGAGGAGGTGATTTGCAATCTCTCTTCCATTCCATTTTTCACTCTTTGTGCATCAAATTCAGTGGGAATTGAGGAATATTCTGTAATTGTATTCAGAAGTTTGGATCCTGTTCACTTGGACCTGTCTAGACACTCAGTGCATGGAGGCCACTAGAAATGATTCCGGAGGGAGAAGTCACAGCAGAAAATCTTCATTCTTAGTCAATGAAAGTGATGTTTCAGCTCAAGTTCAGCAGCCATCTCAGGATGGGCCTGGGTTTGTGCCTTTCCTAATAGAAATGAATCTGGAGGGAGAAGTCTCAGCAGAAAATCTTCATTTTTAGTCAATGAAAGCAATGTTTCACAGCTCAAGTTCAGTAGCTATTCTCAGCTATTTAACTTTATTTATTTATTTAAATTTGACCAGATAGGACAGAGAGAGAGTGACAGAGAGAAAGAGAAAAAAAGTAAGCTGCCAGATCTGGGACTTGAACAGTGGTTGGCCACGTGGGCGTCCAGCACCCTTAACCACCATGCCACTTTCTGGCCTCCCAGAAATTGCTCATTAATAATTATGATGGTTTTGCAAGGTGATGATGAAAACGTAACTCACCTGATTCTCATTTTCTTTTCTTGCTTCTTGTTTAAGGTGAGCTTTCAAGGCTTTTAGCAATTTGGCTGCCTGCAGAAGAGAACCTATCATTAGGGACAACATCAAAAAAGGAGGATATGGTGAACATTTTCTGCTGCTCTAATATTCATCAAATGTACTCTGGTCATCCGCAGGACTAAAACTATGACCTAGACGTAATCAGCCCCTGCCCTCAAGGATTTCACACCTGAGTGGGAGAGAGGCAATCCGGTAGTAAGTGCCCGAGCAAGGAAGCTCAGGCTCCAGTGAGAACAAGAGTGGACTTGGTCATCACACTTGGTACTGCTAGCATAGACACCCCAGTTCCTCTAGAAAAAAGTTTTATTACTTCCAGAGGTTGACAGGGTCTTCTTTTTTATTGGAGAGGTTTTTGCTATAGGGCGCGTGTGCTCACCAGACAGACAGAAAGTGAGAAATCACCCCCCCCAGGGGGGATGGCCACGGCACAATCCCTTCTCCTCCATTTTCCTCTCGGGATCTTGGGCACGCACACACACGCGCCCGGTGTGAGTTTTAAGCCACCAGGTCTGGGACGCGAACCGCAGTCGACTACGTGGGAGTCCAGTGACATAGCCATTACGCTAATTGCTGGTCCCCATGGGTCTTCTTGACACAATCTTCCCCCAGGCCATGCAGCCAGCCAGAATCAGGCACGCTGAAGCCCATTCTAAGATAAAGACATGATGTCTCTAGCTGCTGAGGATCTGAAGGATGAAGAGGGGAGAAACATAGGGACGGGGCAGAGAAATAGCATGGACAGGCAAGGAGTGGAGTCTGAAGCACCTACGTTATGTGGCTGGAGCACAGAGCTGTGGGAGGAGATGGTGGGATAATGCCGGGAAAGTGGGCAGGCCTTGTAAAACTCCCAGGGCAAAGGGCAGGCTCTGAAGAGTCTGCGGCAGGACAGCCGGCGTCCTGTTCGGTGTTACTCAGAACTGTCTCTGGCTGTACTAAGTGCAGGATGCACGTGATGGGATGAGACTGAAGACAGCCATGGTTAGCAGGCTGTGGCAGGAAATGAGGTGATGGTAGCCTGAACTAGAGCAAGGCTAAGGCAGGAAAGGCGGAGTCAAAACCTTCTTAGGAGGTAACAACTCAGTAGACACCTGTGAGTTGGAGAACAAGGAAACTTTGTCATGCCTGGATTTCTGGCTTGGGTAGTTAGGGGAGAATGGCTAAATCTTAGGCCTATAGAAAAGTCAAAACAGTGTTATAAACACTCACCCCATGAAATCATCCATCATTAATACTATCTCCTATTAGCTTTCTCTATATTTATATTTCTTGCCAAAATATATAGAGTTAAGGTCCAGACATCATATTTTTCTACTTAATACAAGAGCCACAACTCCTAAAACCAAGGGGGTACTTTTCCTATATAAACTCTAATACATTATCGTACCTAGGAGTAGTTAACTTTCCCCATCTCACCTACTGCATAACCCATACCAAAATTGCCTTTGTTGTCTCCAACTTGAGTTGTTTTCTTTCTCTTTCTTTAATTGCCAGATGGCTGTGTGCTCACAGAGAGGCAGACAACTCTCCCAATAGGATGCAGTCACGCTGCAACCCTTTCTTCTTCATCTCTTTGGGATTTGGGACACACGTGCACACATGCCCAGAGTGTTTTTCAAGCTGCCAGGGCTGGGATCTGAGCTGCCGTCAGTCATGTAGGAGCCAGCTCCCTTAACCATTAGTCTACAGGGCCAGTCCTCGTCCTGTTGGAATTTAGGCACACACACACACACACACATGCCCAGTGACTTTCAAGCTCCTGGGGCTGGGATATGAACCAGTGGTTGGCCACGTGAAACCTGACTCCTTTAACCAGAAGACCAGGAGCCTAGATTTTAGTTTAGATACGATTAGAGGGCGCCTAGCAGAAAAATGTGTTCTGTGTTTCACATGTCACTCGGACTACCCAGAGAACATGACTGTGAAGCAAGAATACAGGCAGGAAGCATAGTAGGGAGACTGAGGCAGGGGCAGGAGACGAAGTGCTGTGGCCCAGGTTTGCGTCTCTGGAGATGGTGCCAGAGGTCCAATTTCAGATGTAGCTGGGACACAGTGACATGGATGTGGGTGCAGGCAGAGAAGGGGAGGAATGGAGGGTGATCTAAACTGGGCCCAAACCATGTAGTAAGACGGAGACAGAGACCACAGATGTTTGGAACTGACCGTGCTGTTGAACAGGCATTTAAATACTCGACTCAGCAGCTCAGGGTAGAGGTTCTACTGCAGATGCAGTTTTGGGATGCATTAGCTTCCAGACACGTTGAAAGTTATGGGAGTGGGTAAGATGACAAGGGCGAGAACACAGAGAAAAGGCCAAGGAGCCGACCTCTGGGACTCCTCCTCCAGAGATGTGGCTGAGGGAGAGTCAGCCAGGGAGACTGTCAGGAAGTGCTAGTGAGGGGGGAGAAAATGGAACATCAGACAAGTCTACAAAAAAAAAAGGAGTCTGAGCCGAGGGGAGTGTCCTTTGTGGCAAATGCTGCTGATGTGCAGGGGTGAGGATACGGAAGAGCAGAGTAAGTTGGAACCGGCAGTTACCATAATGGCTATGTCGCTGGACTCACATGTAGTCGACCGCAGTTCGAGTCCCAGACCCGGTGGCTTAAATTCATGCTGGGCGCGTGTGTGTGCGTGCCCAAGATCCCGAGAGGAGAATGGAGGAGAAGGATTGCGGCGTGGCCATCCCCCCTGGGGTGTGATTTCTCGCTTTCTGTCTCTCTGGCCAAGTGTATGTGCCCTATAGCAAAAACCTCTTCAAAAAAAAGAGCAGAATAAGTAGAAAAGAACAGAAACATGGGGCAGGATACAGGAAGATGATGTGGGCTCAAGAGGTTTTTTTTTTTTGTAAGGATGATATTTAAAACATGATTGCATGAAGTCGACTTTCTCTTCTTGCAGTGTCTGCTCTACCTGCTGTGGCTGTCTGAGGAGAACAGATTTCCATCAACAAGTGCTTTGGAGGATTTCAGAAAGTTTTTGAACATGACAGTGTTGAACTGAAGTGCAAAATGAAATTTGCTATGTACGTACCACCAAAGGCAGAAACTGGAAAGTACCCTGCATTACACTGGCTGTCTGGTTTAACTTGCACAGAGCAAAATTTTATATCGAAATCTGGTTACCATCAAGCAGCTTCAGAATACGGTCTTACCGTCATTGCTCCAGATACCAGCCCTCGTGGCTGTAATATTAAAGAAGATGACAGCTGGGACTTCAGCACTGGTGCTGGGTTTTATGTGGATGCCACTGAAGATCTTTGGAAAACTAACTATATGGGACAAACAGCGTAATGGCTATGTCGCTGAACTCTCATGTAGTTGACCGCGGCTCAAGTCCTGGACCCAGGGGCTTAAACTCACTCCGGGCGCGTGTGTGTGCGTGCCCAAGATCCTGAGAGGAGAATGGGGGAGAAGAGATTGCGGCGTGACCATCCCCCCTAGGGGGTGATTTCTCGCTTTTTGTCTCTGCTCGGTCCGTCTGGCGAGCCCACACACTCTATAGAAAAAAAAAAAAAAAAGAAAAAAAAAAACTCTCCCCCAAAATATTGTATTAACCCACCTATTGTCTAGGAGATCAGGTGCCTCAAGAAGAGTGCTAGGTGTTCGGAGGAGCATCTACCTTGCAGTAACCTTTCAGAGTTAATTGTGGGGCCTTAATGTAAGCCAGTGCCTGGACTCAGGTGAGAAGCCTCTACATAATTCTCTTGCCAATGACTTTTTTCTGGTGCATTATTTTAGCACTGCCGAGAAGCCACTGTAAATAATAATTCTAAATAATTATTCAGCAACTCCTATCTAAAATGTACTGCACTGAGTGCTATAAAGACTCCGAGGTCAATGGATGAATCCCTGTTCCACATGTATACACAAATAACCAAATTGCAAGGTGAAGCCCTGCAAGGGCTAAATGAATATAGATGACCATCAACGAGGCACTGACACCCCCCCCCACACACACACACACTGTCAGGAATCTGAGTATAGTGGGCCCAGCATGATGGTTAAGGGTGCTAGACTCCCACCACAGTTCGTCCTGGACCAGGCAGCTTTCTCTCTTTCTTTCTCTCTCTCCCTGCCTCTCTCTCTCTCTCTCTCCTCCTCTCTGGTCAAATTTTTAAAAAGTAAATGAAGTTAGATAAAGTAATTAAAAAAAAAAAATCTGGGAACCAGCAGTTGGCAAAATGGCTATGTCACTGGACTCCCATGTAGTCAACCAAGGTCTGAGTCCTGGACCTGGTGACTTAAACTCAGCCTGGGCCTGTGTGCGTTCGTGCCCAAGATCCTGAGAGGAGAATGGAGAAGGGATTGCGGTGTGGCCATCCTCCTTGGGGGGTGATTTCTCGCTTTCTGTCTGTCTCTCTCTGTCTTTCTGGCAAGCACAAGCACCCTGTAGCAAAAATCTCTCTAAAAAAAAAAAAAAGAATCTGAGTGCCTGGAAGTTAGCATAATGGCTAGG